TCACCATGGCAGCCCAGCTCCAGGCTGAGCTGTTGTTCAGCATCTTAGCTGTGGAGGGCAGTGTCACTGGCCCTCATATGTGGGATCCGAACCGGCGCCCTCTGGCATCCCAAGCGAGTTCTTAACCATCGCGCCACTTGGCCGGCCCCTCGTGTGTATACATTTTTTTGGCACCCCCCTATATTAGCACATCTCAGATATGAAGGGCTGGGCGGTGAAGAGAGAATGACAAAAGATAGTGCCATGTTAAGTTGGCAAGGTCAAATCACAGAGATTCTTGCTGCCCTGCTAAGCAGTTTAGATTTTATCTTTTCTCTTTAGATGGGGAGTCATTGAATGGTTTTAATCAAGGGAGTGACATGATCAGAATTAATCGCTCTGAAAAGATTGGGAACACCCTAAAGGTCCCAAAGTCGGGTATTAATCCTATTACGGTGCAGCCATCCAATGGAATACTAAGTATAGGTACTAGGCAACTATTTTTAAGATGAGGCAGGCATAACAGATTGCCATTTGAGTAAAAAGGTTGGGGAGAAAAGAAAGCTTACTCTGGCAGTGGTGTCAAAGGCCAAATGGAAACCAGACTAGAGGCAGGAAGACCAGTTCGGAGGCTAGAACAGGCCAGGTGAGGAATGCTAAGAAGCTGAACCAGCACAGTGGCAGTGGAAAGAGTGATAAAAGAGTGTAACGGAGGTGGACGGAAGAGGACCCAGGCCCCACTTGGCTCGAGGGCTGGTAGAGAAGTCTCAGATGATGAACAGTTTTCTCTCGCAGGAAGCGGTCATTTCTCCAGAAAGGAAATATGAGAGAGGAGGAAGAGCATGAATTTGAGTTACATTTTGGGCCTGGTGACTTTGGAGGTGACAGAGAGACGAGTAGAAGTGTCCAGTGTAGGCATGCAGGGGTGTGGGTCTGAGTCAGGAGAGACGCCTGGGTTACAGAGGCAAACCCGGGAGTCATCACCTTACTGCTGCTAATTGAAGACATGGGACTAGATGAACTCACCCAAAGAAAAGCATAGAAAGAGGAATAGAGAGTCTGGAAAAAGACAAAACAAGCTGACACTGGCAAGGGCCATTGACCTTCCATAGTGCAAGGTTACTTCAGGGCCACCATCTGCTGAAAATGTGAGGATGATGTCATAGGAGAGACTAACCAGCAAGGGGTTGGGTGTATTGTGCAAACTAGGGCTAGAGTCATGGGGAAGAAACTGAGGAATGAGGGGGGCAGAAATAAACTAGGAAACGGGGGAAGTTACAAGACAGTGAAGGTGTGTGTATTTTGCCCTGTTGACCCTTCCCCGTCCCTCTGTTTTAGACGAGCTGCCCCGGGCAGAGGGCCTCGGGGCCACTGAGGCAGCTGAAAGGCTGGGCCAGGGTTGTGTGTGGGATGAGGCTGGTGAAAGTGGTCATCGCTGGAGGGTGTTCCGAACTGGCCAGCGGGAGCAGCGAGTGGACATGACAGTCATTGAACCCTATAAGAAGATCCTTTCCCACGGAGGTAATGGTTAGCATAGTGGTGGTGGGGGGTGGGGGGGTGAGTAAGGACTGTGACAGCTTGACTAAATTGCCTATGCTGGAAACCCAGTTATTGGGTTCCCCATCCTTCCTGTAACTTCCAGAGACCCTCCGAGTCCCTCCACCTAACCATGTCTGTCAATATATATGTGTTGCTTGGATGAATCTTCCCCTTATCTTTCCCAGGTTACCATGGTGATGGCCTCAATGCTGTCATCCTCTTTGCTTCCTGTTATCTACCCAGAGGCAGCATCCCCAACTACACCTATGTCATGGAACACTTGTTTAGGTGAGGTGGGAGGCCCAAAGGGCCCCAGGTGGATGTTAGGGGGGAAACCTACAAAAGAAACCCCTTCCATGACCAGTAGCTGATTGTAGAGTCTACAGTAACGTCCCGCTCACTCCCCATCACCCAAACACATACCTCCCCTGACAGTTGCGTCCCCGCAGGTACATGGTGGGAACCCTGGAGCTGCTGGTAGCTGAGAATTATGTGCTTGTTCACCTGAGTGGAGGCACCAGCAGGGCCCAAGTTCCACGTCTGAGCTGGATACACCGGTGTTACCGGACTCTGGACCGGCGGTGAGCCTCAGGCCGAGGGGCTGCGGCTCTGGCTCACTTCTTTCCACTTCCATCCTTCCCTTCTTTCTTCTTCCATTTAGTTCTTCCTCTTTTGTGTCTACACCCCTTTCCAAGCCTCTCCCTTCTTCTGTCCTCTCTTAGGGTCAGGCCAATCTAGTTTCAAATCTTTTTTTTTTTTTTTTAAATTTTCTTCCTTCTTTCCTGTGCCCTTTGTTTTTATTCTGTCAGTCTCGTGCAGCGGCCTGATACTTGCCTGGATTATTCTACTTCATGGGTTAGTTTTAAATCTTACCTTCACCATTTCCTGGCTGTGTGACTTTGGACAAGTCACTTAACCTTTCTGAGACTCGGCTTCCTTGTCTGTAAAATGGCGATGAGATGCCTTTGCCACTGGGCCTTTGTGAAAACCAACTCAATCGAAGCGACATTCTGCCTGGCGCACAGGAGGCACCCGTCCTTCTCTCACGGTCTCGCCATTTCTTTCCATTTCCATTCCATTGCCTCTTCTGCCTGCATCCCTCGCCTACACATCGGTTTCCCCCCATGTTTCTTTTTTCCCTCTCTTTCTTCCGTCTTCTTTGTTCACTTTTTCTTGCTCCTTTGGTTTTTTGGGGTTTTTTTTCCCTCCTTCTGGGTCTTCTTTACCTGGAGTTTTACAAGTTGGCCTGGTCATGAAGGGATGGAGAAGTGTACAAAAGGAACTTACGCGAGGGTGGGGCCCAGGAGGGAAATGGGGTGGAGGAGGCCAGGCTGAGGGGTTCTGAGAAGAGAGCTTCCTAAAAATGAGCATGGAGGGCTGCACAAGATGGGTGGAGCTGAGATGGCAGTTAAAAGAATGGCGATTAGACCCAGTTGCCGGAGAAATCTAGAAATTAGAGACGTGAAGGAAATGAAAGGACAGAAGATAGCCCCACGTGGTTTTCAGGCATGAAAGTGTGTGTGTGGGGGGGGGAATAGGATGACCTCATCTTCTTCTTCAGGCTCCGGAAAAACCTGCGCACCCTGGTGGTTGTCCATGCCACGTGGTCCATGAAGGCGCTCCTGGCGCTGCTTCGGCCCTTCATCAGGTATTCGCTCTGGGGACAGGGTGTCCCCATTCCTCCCCATTTTCAAAATCAGGATTCAGAGAACTTGCCCCCATCCCACCTCTTTCTAGCCTTAAGCACTCTACTTGTTCCCCTTGTCCTTTGTAAGGGTCTCCAGGAGTCCCCTTCCTGGTACAACACACACTTGGTTTGTCCTCTTTCTTTTTTTCAGTTCCAAGTTTACACGCAAGATCCGTTTTCTGAACAGCCTGGGAGAGCTGAGCCAACTCATCTCCTTGGATCAGATCCACATCCCTGAAGCTGTCAGACAGTGAGTCCCGAGCTGAAGGCTAAAGGGCGGGGGCGGGATGTGTAAAGCCTGTGTCTATTTTCTTAATGCCGTGGGGGAGATACAGAGCAACTGAAAGCCAGGGGCTCTGCCTTCAGGTGCTTCGAGGTAGCTGGGAAAGCTACCCAGGAAAGAAATGAAGGGCACTACTGTACCCAAAAAGGACAAACGAAAAGCTGTACATATAAGTGCTGAGACATCAAGGATTAAAGGAATGACCACAGCACTGAATTGAAGGGAGATTCAGACCAGCCCTAGAAATTAGAAAGGGGAGGTGTTGTCAGTGAGTGGGAGAGACTGGCCAGTCCGGGAGAAGTGCTAGGTAGCAAAGAATCCTAAATATGACCCACTCAAGCACCCAGTATTCTCTCTTCCAATCACCTGGCTTCTCTCTCCCCAGACCAGTGAGTAAATCCCAGGTCCTGCTCCTGTACCACTTTCTCTCTGTTTCTCTCCTAGGCTGGACCAGGATCTGCATGGCTCCGGAGGAACCTAGCGTAGGACCGGAATAAAGGGCCTTAGAACTAAGCAAAGATACCCATCTTCCTGCACCAAACCCTGAAACCTGAGCTCTTGTGTAAACATCTTTTTCACCCCCAGGACCCCTGGATCTTCACATCTCAGTGGGTGTCATTCCTTCCATGACCCTGCCTTCAAAGCAGGGCTGGTCTGGAACCTGATCTGCTGGGTGACTTTTATTTCAGAAGTGGGGGTCCATAGGGTGGCATTTGGTATGCGAAGTGCAAGGCTGTGGTTCTGAGTCCTGCTTTAGCTGTAGAACCGTTGTCTCGGAGCCATCTCGTCTTCTGTAGACGAAAGAGCTGCAGTCCTTTCCACCTGGGTAGCCTGGCAGTGAAGGTGAAGGTGAAGGGTGGTGGATGGGAAGGGCAGGGCCAGGAGTCCCTCCCTAAATCTGGGAGAGCCGTACGCCCCCCTTTCCTTCTTAGCTCTGTCTGCTGCCTATGAGCCTGGGGAGGCGTGTTTTCAAAGCCTGTTCTTCTGTCCTGTGTGGTCGACTCAGACCTGTAGCGGTGAATAAACTGCGATGAGAGGTTTAAGCTCTGCGCCGAGGAAGTGAACTCTTTCCCAGGATCCTTGCATCAGGATCCGTCTGTCGGCGGAGCTCTTGTTGCGGGGGTTCCCAGGATTTTTAGCCGAGCCCCTGGGGCCGCGGGAGCCACGGGCAGAGGGCCTGGGGGCGGGGGTGGGGGCGTGGCGCGCGCATCAGAGCTCCCCTCCCCCGCGGGCCTCAGTTCTAACGACCCGGTGGGTCCAGAGCCGAAGGGAGGGAGAGCAGATAGGAGTCCCGGCCTCGGCCACTGGCCTCCCTCCCAGCCCCACACCGTCCAGCCCCATGGTCCCCGCCGCCCGCGCGCTGCTCTGGGCCCTGCTGCTGAGTCTGGGGTCCCGGGCGGCGGCGGGGGCCCAAGGCCTGACTTCGACTGGGGCGACCGAGACGACCGGGACGCAGCCGGTCAGTTTCCGCTCCGGGAGTCCAATGACCCGCAACTACCGGTCCACCGCCCGGACCCCGGTCTCCCCGAAGAGGAGGGTAACAATGGAGGATGAGGACGACGTCGTGGCCACTGCCGACCGCCTGGCAGGCCCAGCCGCTGCAGAGCTCTTGGCCTCCACGGTGTCCACGGACGTCAACGGGTCGCGTTCGTGGGAGCATGAGGATGGGTCTTTGGAGGAGGGGGTTGTGATTAACGCCGATAAGAATAGCGCCAGATCAGAGGCTCCCCGTCCGGTTTCCAGTCCTGTTCCCCGTTCCATTCCCAGTACGGTTCCCAGTACAGCTGCGGGTCCCAGCTCCAGGTTCCCCGCAAATATCCAGGAGCCGGAATACAGGCTCACCACGAGCCTGCCGCACTCCAGCTGGAGGTCGACTGAGGATTCCGACACCAGCCTCACCCAGTGGACAACAGCAGGGGCCACCCCCCGCCACTCACCGCGACGCTTGGCCACAGCCATGCCACCTCCGGAAGACCTTCGGGTGATGCTAATGCCCTGGGGCCCGTGGCACTGCCACTGCAAGTCGGGCACCATGAGCCGGACCCGCGCGGGCAAGCTGCAGGGCCTTTCCGGGCGCCTCCGAGTTGGAGCGCTGAGTCAACTGCGCACGGAGCACCGGCCTTGCACCTACCGTCAATGTCCCTGCGACCGGCATCGTGAGGAGTGCCCCCTGGACTCCAGCATCTGTTCTGATGCCAGCTGCACCACCCAGCCCACCACCACCAGCACCACCAGCACCTTCCCCCCCCTCAGCAGCAGACTCAGACCCACGCCCTTGCACTTCCCCAGCCCCAGCCCAGCCCTTGCTTTTTGGAGGCGGGTCAGGATTGGGCTGGAGGACATTTGGAACAGCCTCTCTACCGTGTTCACAGAGATGGAACCAGTAAGTGTTTGGCGATGAGCCAGGGCCTTTGTTGATGGATCTGAAAAGTCCTGAGAGCCAAAGCCTGTGGCTCAGCAGCCAGTGTGCTTGTGACAACTGTTCCTTATGAGTCTGCTTATTGATTCGTAATGTGCATTGGTCTGTCCATCTTGCTGGCCATAGATTCCACCAGTTATTTCCTGAACTGCTGGTTGGTTATTAGGTAACATGCATAATGGGTCATCAGGTGATGACTGACCAAGCTGTTAAGATTGTAGATACATAAAGAATTCTTCATGCGCAGATAATTAATGGAGGTGGAAGATAATTAAGTTTTCAGCTTACCTGTGCAGTTTAATAACTACAGCCAGTGTCTGAGGTCTTGCTGTGTACTTTCCCTGAATCAGCCCTCCAACACCCCCATGAGGTACTAGTATCCCCCACTTCACAGATAAAGAAATAGGAGTTTGCAAAGCTGGTAAGTGGCAGTCACAGCAGGACTTAAGCCAGGTTGGTTTGATGCTAATGCCTACTACGCTTGCTCTGGACCACTGTCCCAAAGAACTGTCTAGGGATTATTCCCAGCAATCTGAGAATTCTCAGGGAAGGACAGTGCTCTCCTTGACCAAGAGCCATCCAAGGCTCTGATTGACCTGATGAAATATTCTCAATTGATAGGATGACGGGACCTTTGGGAAGAGGTGAGGGACAAAATGTACACTTGGGGGCCAGCCGAGTGGCTGAGTTGGTTAAGAGCTCGCTCAAGAGTTTGAGCTCTGAGCAACAGTGGTTCGATGCCCGGCCCGAGCTGAGCTGCCGCTGAGCTGCCAACAGGTAGCAGGATGGCTCAGCTTAAAAAAAAAAAAAAAGTACACTTGGTCATTTTGCCTTTTTCTGTTGTCTTTCTCCTTGTGTCCAATGGTATTCAACATGTAAGAGAAGCATAAATGGGAAGGAGGATTTGTGGGGAGAGGGACATAAAGCAAGGAAGGGAAAAGAAATAGACTTGTAACATTTCCCCTTTTCTCTATTTTCTTTCCTTCCCCAGATAGACAGAAACCAGAGGTGATGGCCACTTGACCTGCAAGGAGGTGTCAATCCTAGCACCCACCGGATATTTTTAGTACAGAAAAACAAAACTAGAAAAAACATTGGTCTCGTGTCTTTTTACAGATGTATCTGAGGGAGGAGAGGCCGCAAGTTTCATGAACCTTAAAACTGAACTGTGTAGCTAACAGCATGTGGCCGGGGCCCTTCCCCCATCCCTCAGATAAAATGTTGATATTGTTCACCGTCCTCATTGCCCAAGTTGTTTTTAAACAAGTGCTTCTTTAGAGACTTGGAAAATCTCAGGTGAATGCTCTGAGAAGGGAACAGGAAGAACAAGGATGCAAGCAAGCCCTTGGATGATGGTGGTCTTGCCACCTTCTCGCCTCAGAAAGGTACACAGCCCCACGTCAGCCACTTTCTAGACGTTACCCAACACACACCTGTAGTGATTAGTCTGAGACTATTTTGCTTACACTTTTTTTTATTTGAAAAATGTATTTAAAAGTCCAACAAATTTTTGATATAAATTATGACTCTCAAACCCATTCCCATCACTCTAAATATTGTTCAAGTGATGGCAGCGTGCACATTAGAGAAGGTAGCAAAAGGTGAGAGAGCACCAAAGGAAAGATGTGTCCAAATAGGCATTAGAATAAGGCTGAAGGTCAGGGTGACCAGCGACTCCAGGGGTCCCCATCTCTCTACCCTATCCTGTCAACCCTTCAGATCTAGTATAACCCTCGGGCTATTGAGCTACTTCCAGAACAACTAGCTAGATTGGAACATAAATTGTGAATGTGTCTCTAGGACCGATCTCAGACCGTGAAAAACTTCAGGAGATACACTGAACTTGGAAAAAGTACACCTTCGTCGCTGTATGTGGAGGGCAGACAGGAGGGATGGTGGAATCGGCTGAGTGGATCCTAATTCCCACATTCCTGAAACCCCCACCACCATCAAACAGGACGCTTCCTTGTCACCGAGCTAATGTGAGCAGGCAGGAGCTCATCTGTCCTGTTCCCACAAGGAAGGGACCAGAACAAAAAACACCGAAACACCTGAGAAAACAAAGTGCCTGAAGACCCTGCTCCTCCGATACGTTCCCACCTAAAGCAGACTCTTCCGCCTGGCGGGGAAGGAGACCTGGTCTTCAGACAAAACTCCCTGAGTCTTACCTGTGTCTGATTCCAGGACTAGGACACAGACATAGGGCTTAAAGCTGGGGCGGGGACGCTGGGTGTTCACCACAGCTCTACTGCTTCAGTTCCACACCCTCCTCCCAAGCCCACCACACCCCATTCATTCCTCTACTGCAGGAACCCCTCCAATTGAGAGCAAGAACAGAGAAGCAGAGACAACCCATGCAAGCACAAGCCACAGAATGAAGAGCTGTTTGGAAACTGTGCAGCCCTACTAAGCCTACTTTCCAAGGGAGCCTAGCTCATCTAGGTTTAGGATGAATAACGGAATGGGGGACGGTGGCGGTGGAACTCACTCAAGAGAAAAATATCTCGCCTTGAGAGCTGTGGCTCTCAGCTGGGGGTGATTTTGCGCCCTAGGAGACACTTGGCAATGTCTGGGGATGCTTTTGGGTTGTCCTAACCAGGGTGGGCCAGGGATGCTGCTAAACATCCTATAATGCACAGAAAGAATTATCCAGCCCAAAATGCCAAGTGTCCAGGTTGAGAAACCTTGTTCTGTGGGTCTCCCTGCTCCCAGGCTGAGGATCTTAAGCTCCCTAAACTCACAGATGATTCTTCTCAACCCATTTACCTCCCCACCTCCCTTCCTCAAGGGTCCAGAAGTCCACCCTGAGACATAACTCCTGGATTTGAGGCATTTCTCGCCAGGTCCCTCTTCCTCCTCTCACCTGGGCCGGCAGGGAGGTGGGCAGAGGGCAGGCCAGGTCCCCAAGGCTTAAGTGGAACGTCACCAGATTAAGACCCCCCCCCCAGCCCTTACCCTAACTCTTATTCAGTGGGAAGTAAGGCTCCTAACAGGAACAAGGTAAGGACAGAGGTAGTAGCAGGATGGGGGTAATTAAGAGAACTCATCTTAAGTTAAATCTTTAATTAATTTAAAAAAAGGGAAAGGTGCTGGGGAGCTAGCAATGCTACAGAAACAGGGATAGAGGCCTAACTAAAGAAAGACGCTGGTTCTGGCAGAGAGATACTGATGAGCGGTGAGCATAAGGTCTGAGATGGAGAGAGAGTCGCCCAGGCAGTGGTCACCCTCCCAGCCCCTGCCGACATCGGCGTCAGTGCATTCCGGGAGGGAGGAGGCGAGGGCAGGGAGGCAGGAGCTGCTCGGCAAAGCCAGTCTCAGCTCTGGGAACCTCTCCCACCTGCCACTTAAGGAGCTCCAGGTTAAGAGTTTAAAAACAGGTGGCACCTAGACCGTCATTCAGGAGCAGGGAACTCATTCCAGGTTCCCAGAAACGCCCATGTCAGATCTGAGAGTGTCCAGGGCTTCAGCTGCGCCCCTCTGGCCAACCAGTAGTCGCTTGGTCAGTCCTGCTGCCTTCACCCCATCTCCAGGAGGGGCTACAGCCAGAGGGAGTAAAGGGAGACCAGCCCCCAAGCCTTTTGAGGCACTATCCGGCAGAGAGGGGAGAAGGGGCCCCGGGGGCACTGGTTCTAGGAGGGATCTGGTGGGGGCAGCACTTCTTCTGGGCTGGACAGAGGGAGGCTTCAGACAGCAGAACCTGATTTAAAAAAAGGAAGATTAGCCTCCAAGAAACCAAGGCCTTCAGGAGAAAGGCCCTGCCTCGTGCAGACTCCACCCCCATCTGCCTGCTCATCCCTGACCCTCTGCCTTCCTGCCTCCTGTTCCTGACTCTGCCCCGCTGGCTTCCCGTTCTCGTGGAGGACCTGAGGCACCAGCGGGTGCTGGGGGCGGTTTCTCGCATCACTCACCATCCCTGTTGGGGCTACAAGCCCCTAGAATTGCTCCATGGCCTGTCTCGGTTTCCCTTGGATCTCATCTGCTCCTGAACTGCGCCTGTCTGTGAAGAAGCGCACGGGGAAACCCTCCATGAGTCTTCATGTCGCACAGAAAGAGGTCGCCCCTGCGTCCTCCCCGGAGGAGGCTGACCCCATCTCCTCGACAATAAAATCATCTGAAAACTCGCCACCATTCCTCCACGGGCAGTCTTCGTTGCCTCCCTCCACACTGACCTTCGCGAGGGTGCCATAAAATGAGTCTTTTACAAATAAGATCCCCTCACAAAGGGCCCTCTCATATTTATCGAAGTTTCACAACTGGTGAGAAGACTCCTTCACTATCTGCAGGCCCACTTCCCTTATTTTGAGAGCAGATACACATATTAGACTTGGCTTAGGACAGAGGGGCTCGGCCTTCCCCGGCCCCCACATTCCCAGCCACAACATGACTTACTGTGGTACTGAGACAGCAGTTCTTGGTGAACAGAAGGAAGGGGTATGATTTTTGGAAAAAGCCATCCATGTAACTTTTAAAGACATATATACCCCCCATCTCAATGAAGAATGATCTGCTAACCGTAAAGATGGGGGGCGGGGTGCCTAGGCCAGAGACCTCAAATGCCAGGTCTCGGGATGACACAGCTGGTGACCAAGACTAGAAGCCTAGCTTCTTACTTCCCCATCGAGTATTTTGTTATGTCCCCTCCTTGAACTTTCAAAAAGGGGAACAGTCCTGGGCCACAACCCCCTATCAACCTGTCCCCGTTCCCTTGTTACCATGGCAAGTCCGTCTCCAGCCCCCATCTCCCCAGAGCCAATGTGAGTCAGGTGGACAAAATTCATTGGTTCCCCAATCATGGTCCGGTCGATCCGTCTCCTCTTCTTCTTCTGTTTCGAGGAAATAGGGGAGTTACGTCTGAAAACCCCCTCCTCCAGTGCCAGTGGAGGAAGGGAAAAGAGCCTTGAAAACCGCGAAGGGAAGAGCTAAGGGCCCGGTGGGAAAGGGGACATGGCGTCCTAAGAGGGGAATCACGAGAGTGTGAAAGGCAAGGCCAGAACAACTGACAGCAGAGGCCACGGGCAGAGTGGGAAGGGCAGGGGCCTGCAGAGCGAACACTGGACGAAGAAAGGGCAGGTCAGAGTCACCTCTGGCTGATGAGAAAACAATGGGGAAAGCTGACAGGTAGTAAGCTCCACCTACAACCCCTGCCCAGCTCAGAACGGACAGGAGCCGGAAAGACAGCCAGGACTAGTCACTTCTCCCACTCAGTCCCCGTTATTCCCACACACACACCTGTCAGGCCACAGAATCGGTCCTGCCAGAGAGAGGCAGGAAGTGTGCCTGGCAGAAGGCAGATCCCTGGTGGTGTGTCTACCTCAGTAGACGGTACCTGGTTTCTGTGTGGCGGGTGGGGGTGGGGACACTCACCGGCTGGGGTTTCTCTACCACACAGCAGCCCAGTTTGTGCCAAAATTCACTCATGTTCCCCGCTGGTTCCAGTTTCACTCCTCAGCCTGAGGCCCCAGAGGGCTCCTGCTCGGGCGCCCTGACTGTCCACTGCTCACTCCCTCAGGTGTTAACAACACCCTGGGCGCACTCGGCCGCACGGGCACCAGGCCAGAGAAAGGCGAGGCCCTGGAACCCTGAGCTGAGCAGTGAAGGTCAGTGTCTCAGACCAAGGCCAGAGGGCGGGGCGGGCGGGCCCAAGGCTATGTCTTCCTCAGCTGTGGAACCCTGAATGAGCAGAAAGCAGAGAGAGGACAGGTTAATGAGAAACCACCCCCTCCTTGAGAAGCCTAAGGATGAGCCCATATTCTAGCCGTCCCTACAGGCCCTAGTCCTGCACCCAACACTAACCTTCGCCACACAGAAGAACCTCACACTTGGACCCTCAGGAGGAAGAGGAGGAGGACACCAAGGGTTAAGGAGCAGTAGCTGCTGGTACCAAGGGAGCGGAAGGGGGCTGTAAGCCTTTAGGGTGACGGGGTGGGAGGGGACCAAGGGACAGCAGAAATGAGCACAGTCTGGGGGTGCTACCAGCTCCACCTCCTTTGTTCCTGGGTTTAGGGCAGGAGGGGAGGAGCACACTAAGTGACTTTGAAGAGGAAATGGTGGTTTTCTGTTCTCACAAACAAGGCCTCCACCCTGTGGTCCCTCCCTCTTTCCTTACCTGACTCTGAACACCTAACATTTTCTTCCAGACCTTGACCACTAGGGCCTAGGTGACTAAGTGTAGCAGCTGGGACCCCGGGAAGACTTGCAGCAGCTAGGGCTGTCTTCCCTCTCCATTCCCTGACCTTGTTCCGCCTCTTTTCCCTCCGCTAAGCTCCAGCCCCTCCCAAAAGATATTTAGCAGTTCCTTTATTACTTGACCTTGAGCTCCTTCCTGAAGGTTGTGCACACTCTGTTTCTGTGTCCTGTGTCATTGCACGCCTGCCAGCGTGGGCACCTGTTTGCACACTCGTGGCATGGCCAGAGCCCCGTGTGTGCCTTGCATGGCTCATCTGTGCACAGGTTGCAGGTACCTGTGCCAGGTATCTGCTGCCCCATGAGAAATCTTTTCCAGCCTCCCCACCCTCTTCACATGTCCTATCGTGCCATGCTGCTCATAGGGCCCTGGGCCTGCCTGCTTGCCTCCCTCCCTCCTCCCTTTACGCTGTGACCTGTTCTCTCCTCCCCCCTCACCACTTCCACCCCCAAGCATCATCAGCCAACCAGACACAAGGAACTTTCCAATAGCATTAGCGTCCAAGGAAGACCTTTCATTCCTGCGAGCCAGGATAGGGCACACCTAGGTTTCCTCTATCCGCAAACACATCTGCCCCCATCCTAGAACAGGCGGCCTCGAAGTTTCCAAACGGGGCAGTTTCATGAATATTACACTTGAGTGTGAATACGAAACTCCCTGCCCTCCAGGCCTGGAACCCTGAGGATCTGGCACCCTAGACTGATCGAAGAAAGGAGGGGGATTTTTTTAACTGCCTTGAGATGAGATCACACAAACACGAGATACAGCTTCTTGAGGAGGGAAGGACCCAGGAGTCTGGGTTTCCTCTTACTTCCCTTCCCACCACTGGAGGGGAGGTACAGGCCGGAAGTCACAGCACAGTTGGACAGAGAGGGGAGCTGTGGTCAATGGGGAAGTCAGTCACAGGGTTGGCTGTGATGGTGGCGGGTGGTCAGGGTTGGAGGCGGGGGGTGCGGGAGGAGGAAAACAATGAAGAATCAGAGGAAACCCCCAACACCACTAGACAGGCTGTACTGAGACTGGACTCTCCCCAATACCTCCCTGCTCAAAGCTCAGTGGACAGAAGTGGAGGGTGGGAGGGGAGAGGAGAGAAAAGGGGGAGGAGGAGAGAGAGGGAAAGGGGCAGTGGAGGAAACAAGGACGTGTCTGTTCCTTTTCCAGGGACCTGGCCAGAAATGGGTGGAGGGAAAGTGTGTGTGTGGGACTTGGCATGAAATGACCAATGATGATGAGAAGTGACCAGGAAATTCCATTCCCCAGGACATAGGACACAACGGTCTCTAAAGCTTGGGGGTGGGGTCAGAATGCGGAGAATACTGGGCAGGGTGAAGGAGGGTAGGGGAACAAGGCCAGGGAAGGAAGGAAGGAAGAGTGATTGGCTGTCACTCCCCTTCTTTAAAATACCTAGAGTGGGCTGAGGAAAAATGAAGTCCTGAGCTGCTAAGCCCAGGAAGAGGTACCCGAATCCGCTGCCCACTACTTCAATCCCACAGCTGAGGGGCAGGAGCTGGTAAAACAGCAGGTGGGCTCAGGATTGGATCACTTACGGCCATATCCTGACAGCCAAGCAGGGCTGAGAACTGGGCCCTAGATCCAAATAGGAAGGGTGACTGGAGCTGGGAAAGACTCCAAGGTCACACTGGGGCTTAAGGAAGGGCTTCACAACCATTGCGGAGCGAGCAGAAGAGCAGAAGGGATGGGAGAAAGGTTCCGGGGAGGAAGGATGTGCAGAGGTAGTTCCCCGGTCCTGTTCTAGCCCCAAACCGGTTTTCCCAGTCCCTGCTGCCTCCAGCCCCAAGGCCTCCAACCCGCTGCCTGACAAGCCTTCACAGGAAGCAGCTGGAGAGAAAGAGAAAGAGAAAGAGAGAATTAAGAAAATGGAGTGGGCAATTCTGGCTATAAGCCCAGGGCTGCAGCTGGTCTCTTGTGGAGACCTCCGGGGGGGGGGGGGCCTGCTGAGGGGTCCTAGAGAAGCAGAGCTGGGCCCCACTTTGAAGGCAAGTGACAGACTTGTGCCCCAGCACCAACCATGTCCTTCCCCAGGTAAGGTCTGGTGGGGACACAAGAGGAAACAGAAGGAGGCCCCAAGCTCCCCATCCCCAATATATTCAGTCATGCCAGTCACAGAGGCTCCATTTCTGCCCCCTCCCCAACTCTACCCAGGAATTCTCTGCTCTTCCCAACCTGAACTAGGACTGGGGCCTCTCTGGGGCTCCTTTCCACTCTGTCACTGGCTTCCGTGGTTGCCTCCGTCTCAGATCGAGACCTTCCAGGACCCAGTTCAGCTTCACTTTGTCTGGCGCACGCCGTCACCGAGGTCGGTGAGGCCCGGAGACCTTGTCCCCCTACCTCCTCCCCCAGCTCCCAGTCCCTTCTTTCTGTTCCGCTCTTCAGCGGCCTCGGCCTGCGCGCCGCACGACCGTGGATGGGGACGGCTACTGAGGGAGCGCACCCCTTTCCCACCGATCCAGCTTGTCCACAGCCCTGGACACCCTCCTCCCCCACCCCCAGTATCCGGTGCGGCGCCGCCCGGCAGGGCAGGCGGGGCCGCACGGGCGGGGGACCAGCCCCACGATCTCACCTGCTCTGCTCCCACATCGAGGCGCCCGGCTGTAGCTGGTGGGGGGCTCCCGCTCCGTGCCCGCCAGTGTGGGGTTCCCGGGATCGCTCCTCGACGCGGTGGGGGAGCCGAGGGCGGGCCGGCAGAGGTGGGGCTGGCGGAGGGCGGAAACGGCGGCGACGCGATTACGAAACCCGTCCGGCTGGGAGCCGGGCGCACAGCTCCCCCCTGGACTGAAGAGGCGCTGCACCCGGAGGGCCGTGGGAGGCGGCCTGGGAAGCCCCCTAGGGCCGCCGCCCCCGCGGGGCGGACCGCGGAATGCGGACCCCTGGATGAGGGCGGGACGTCAGGCGGGGTCCCCCGGAATCGCACGTTCCCTTCGCGCGCCAGGCATTGCGAGGCAAAACGAAGCGGAGCCCCTCTATCCCACCGACCCAATTGCGAGATTCTCAGAAGCACCCCGCCCAGTCTTTTGTGTTCTACCCCAAATGGAACAGGGCCCCGTGTATTTGCCCACTGGGGAGGCGAGTCGGGAGGAGTAGAGATTGGAGGGAGGGAGGCAGAGTTGTCCTGATTCTCAAAAACACTTCGTAAGTGAAATCCTTAAATTGGGGACGGAAGGGCCACTCTTCCTCCACTGTTGCCTAGAGTTAAGATTTTTAACCCATAAAGCGCACCTCAGAGGACAATTAGCCGCTCGCTCACTGCACCCCCAGTCAGCACGCGCGCGCTGAAGAGCCGGGCAGTTACTGTGCAGACCTGTAAGCCTCCGGAGATGCCTTCCCCGGGGTTCTCTCCCCAACGGGCTCTGGAACCTATCGTTTGAATTAGCCGAGTCAGGCAGGGAGGGGCGGGGAGTTCTTCCGCCCGTCTTAGGAGGGGCTGCATTGCAGGGGGAGGCTGAGCCGACCGACTCACTCACGGGAGAGGGAGAGGGAGAGGCAGCGAGAAGACAAAGCCGGCGAAGCCCCCACTGCTGTCTCTCCAGCCCCGAGCAGGCACCGCAGCCCCGCCGTCCTCCCTCCATCTTCGGAACACGCTAGTGATTCATTGATAACAGGTAAAATAAACCGGATGGAGGGCGGGGGGCAGGGGCTGCAAAGATAGAAGAGCAGTTGCTCCAGGTTAGGTTGAAGACCCCAAATGAGGATGAGGTTGGGGGACCGTTCACCAGAAAAGACGGCGCGACTATGAACAACGGGTAGTTATTTGCTCACCGGTTTACATCTCTTCGCTCAGATCTCCATCCATGATAATCCCGGACACAGACATTAATTTTTAACGATGTATATGTGGTTATCATTTCTCAGTATTTATCTCCTTATTTCAAGCACCTATTTGCCTATGATTTATTGTCCTGTGTATTTTAGTATCTTCAGGCTAGTTATCTGTGTCTTCCTTTTCAAGCTGTAATTTGTCCTACCAGTTTTTTGATGAATCTCTAGTCCTGCTGTATGGCTCTCACTCCTACTTCCTCGTATTTCCAATTTTTTTTTTTTCTGTAGCGTTCTATTCGTGTGTCTACCCTCACTCCTAGAAGAGTTTGGGGGGGAGAGATATGAGATAACACTGAGATTCATCCTCACCTTTCTGTTAACAGCCTCCTCCCCGCCTCAAACCTTTGCTCCAAAGAAAGGCAGCTTGAGGTAGGGCGGTGGGGACCTCCGTGTTGGAGAACTGCCTGATCCCATATTGAAATCATCAGTGAAGCCCCCAAGAGCTAGGTATGGGGACAGGTTCTGGAAAAGGAACGCTTATTTGCAGCTCAGTGGACTAGGTGGGGGAAGGACATGGCTAATAAGAAAATCCCACCCAGAATGAGGCTCATATAATGGGATGCCAGAGAGCGCCCATCCCCTCTCATCAGCATCCCTGGTCCTTCCCCGCTACCGTGGCAGCGTGACACAGCAAGGCCTGGCTGGGTAGGCCCTGGATTCCCACAGAGGGTCTGGACAAAGGGTATTTGGGTGTGTCTGTGTGGCTCAGAGAGAGCGTGTCTTTTTATACTACATATTTGCTAATCATGTATCCCTAAGAATAGACTGCTATTTAGAAATTACCTAAAATATCTGCGTGATTTAAAATGAAGGCTAAAGGGAAGCATTTATTGAGCATACATTGTGGTACAAAGGCGCTGTCCAAGCCCTTTAAATAAGTAAATGAGAGAGATAAAGGTAGATGAGGTGTGGGTGAATATTGGGGAGGGGAAGAGAAAGCTAGCTGCAAAGAGACCTTTTGCACAATTTGCGTACTTGGGAATTAAAGTCATACTATTTTAAAATTTCATTACTAACGTAAAGGGTATTTTAGCTCCAATTTCCTGTGTAGGCAATGTTCTTCACTTGATTTTAAATGCCACAAATGCTGTCCGAGTGTCTTTCTGGAATGCATTTGGTACTCTCTGTTCATGTTTCTGAGACACAGCTGGAGAGTTTAGGCCTTTTAAGTTAGTGTTGCGTGAAATTTCCCTTGGCTTTTCTAATTGCAAGAGAAGCTCTGCCAGACACTCGGACTGTCTGGACAGGTTGGACACATGGGCTGGCTGAAAAAAAAGGAGTCAGCTTGTCAAAGAGCCTTTTCCCGTTTCAGATTCTAGCTTGCTGTCTATTGCCTTTTGCATTTTCACCATTCGGATCAGAATCACAGGAACAATCGGCACCTAACCTACTGGATATCTGTTCTTCAGGAACTAAGAATTCTGGAAAGTTTTGAAAATATTGGTATTGGATTATATAAAGCTGTAGGCAGCTATTTGTGTACAACACACCAAAAAACGATCAGGCTGGGAGTTTTGAGACCTGGGTTCTATCTAAACTGGCTGGAAAACTTCACAATTCACTAGAATTTCCAAGGTGTTTTCTAGTTTTAAAGGTGTGTGGGTTTTTTTTCCCCCCTTATGATTCTATTTTTTAATGAGCCTCTTTTTTTTGCCCAGCATTATATACTCAGCTTGCTCTGGAGGGGACTGGTAAGGAAGGGGCTATAAAAGAAGCCAGGTAGGTAGGCGAATAACTGGCAATATTATTTAAAAATCCCTGTGGGCAGAAGTCAGTAACACTATTGACTCCTGAGGTTTGCTTTTAGGATCTCTGTAGTCACCGACCTAAGCTGGGGTTGGTTGGTCGATAGGTACTGCCATTTTTTGGTAGCGCTCTTTCTGTGCACATGTCTCTGCAAATTACTATGGAGATGATCAGAGCTGAGTATCATAGGACGATGACCTCACCTTCCCAACATGTTCCCACCCTGTTTCAGTCCCTACATCGGCTCCTTCGAAGCAGCTTTTCTGCTGAGTAATGCTCGGTTCCCAGGGTTTATTTTGGGGCTTGAACCTAAGAAGAAAAAGTGCAACTCAGAACTCACTTTTAATGTGAAAAACATCCTCCTCTACCCACTCACCACTGCTGAAGCCGCTATACTCACACATAAGCGTGTTCTAGATTAAGGTTTTCTTTTCTGCCTTAGTGGAGACATTTCACTTCTTTATGGGGTTATAGAGTTTCTGTGCGGTAGTGGTTATCATGTTCACCTGACACATTATATGGGGACATTTTGGAAGCTGTTTAAGGCCACTCGTAGGAGTTTCAAGGCCTGGTGAGAGCCAGTGGAGTGTGCTGGAGGAAGCCTTTTGAAATGGGGTTCTATTTTTGGCGGCGGTGGAATGTTCTTTCTGCTCTTTTGGGAACATTTCACCTAATGCTTCTTGCTTCTTCCCTTGGCCAGTAAGCAGCAGGGAGTTTCATAGTCTTATAACATCAGGGTCTCAGTGGGATTGGCAGAGAAGGTGACAGAAGTTCTTGTTAAAGCATGGAAAAGTGTCTAATTCTGTTAAAGGACCTTCTCCTTCCAACCTAAACTTTACTTTTATCTGGACTTTCCAACCCATTTGCTCTATCATCAGGTAGATTGTAGCGCTGGGATCAGAGAAAAGAGACAGGAGACGTGTTATAGCATAGGCAAATTCTTGTAGTGCCTGGGTTTTGTCCTGGGGAGGTAGGCTACAGAGAACTAGATAGGCTATTAAGGCTTATCTGTGGACTATTAGACGGGAGTGGCCAGGTACTCATTGTATTCAATAGTGAGGGAAAATGAATCAGCAGCCTTGAATGTCTTTTGTGTGCAAAGCCCAGAGTTTGTGAAGAAAGTACAAAGTAGACTGGTTTTTTCCCTCGGGGAAACTCAGTCCCTTGAAGAAGATAAGACTATCCCTATACAAGACTCTTAACAGTGATCGTAACCCCAAACTGATAAGAGTCATGTGAAACTCTATGGGGTGTTGGAGGAGATGCTGGAATAAATAGGGTAGATGGAGCTGAGTACATTTAAGGAAGTCCTGGACGAGGTGAATTTATAGTAGGGTTTAGAAGGCAGGGAGGAAAATAGAAGGCCGAAAGATCATGGAAGCCCTTTTCAGAGGTACCATGACCTATTAAACCAAAGGCAGGAACAAGTCATGTATTTGCGAATATTAATAGGCATTCCGGGGAAAGATTTCTCTACAGACTTGAGTGGAGTCTTGAAACTTGGGTTGTATTTTCAGATGGAGTGGAGAGAGTTGAGCAAGACAGGAATGAGCATAACTAGCAGAGAAGATACTACTGTTAGAAAGAATGGGGCCAGACTCTGGAAGACCTTGAAAACCAGACTCAAGATAGACTTGAAGGGGTTACCAGTTAGCTCAGGTGGTTAGAGCGCAGTGCTCATAACACCAAGGTTGCCGGTTCGATCCCCACATGGGCCACTGAGCTGGGCCCTCCACAACTAGACTGAAATAACTACTTGCCTTGGAGCTGATGGGTCCTAGAAAAACTCACTGTAAAATAAACTAAAGAAAAGATAGACATGAAGCAGTAGGCAGTAAATGAGTCATTCCAAGTTGGGGAGAAGTTAGGTAATGGTACTAGAGGAAGGGTTCCTGAAGCTTGTCCTAGGGAACTTGGATTATGTACAGAGGCAAATGGGGATGTACAGTTTCTAAGTAAGGAAAGGCCCCGGGCCACAGAGATATTGCTGTAGCGCGAAGACTGACAAATGGTTTCTTTCTAGGAAGTTATGAGGGACCCTGTGAGTAGCCAGTACAGCTCCTTTCTTTTCTGGAGGATGCCCATTCCAGAGCTGGATCTGTCGGAGCTGGAAAGCCTGGGCCTGTCAGATACGTCCACCGACAAGGTCGAGGACAGCAACGTTGGCAAAATGACCGGGCAAGCAACCGGAACAGAGCAGGAGAACAACCCTGAAGGGGATGCCCTCCTCGAGTACAGCACCTTCAACTTCTGGAGAGCCCCCATTGCCAGCATCCATGCCTTTGAATTGGACTTGATTTAAGCCCGAGACTTCTCTCCCCCCACCTGGCCCTACTTGTCTTCCCTGTCTTCCTTTCCACCCTTTTCCCCTGTTAATCTTGCTCTTTCCCCTCCCTCGTGTTGAGGTGCTGATGAATCTGCCAGAGTTGTGTTGTATTTATTTATTTATTTATTTATTTATTTATTTATCTTCCTTATCAGTTTCTCTTGAAAGCCCTCAAGCCCCAAAGGGTTCAAACAATGGAGTACTGGGTCACAGAGATTCCTCCGCCCCTCCCTCCACATTATTTCCGGAAAAACGGGCCTGATGGGGGCACCAGCGAGTAACTGGTGTTACTGTCCCACTCCAGGACAGTAAACACAAATATTTCTTAAAGGTTTCATGAATAGCTTGTAAGTTTTAATTTGAGATTACCTGCTATGAGACAGTAGGATTTTATTTTATTTATTTATTTATTTATTTATTTGAGACAGTAGGATTTCTAAAAGGCTGAGGTGCTGACTCTTGCTTTTTTGTTTCTGCTCCTTCAGTAATACACTCTTTCGCAGAGAAACTGGGGGTAGTGAATGTATAAAGCGAGGGTGTTCATATCATGGAAAATGAAAATAGGATAAAGTGGCAAAGCATGTGAGATACAGCTATGCTCTCTCAAAAGGGTGTTTCTTCTTCAACCCTACTCACTTTACAACTTTGCCCCTAAATGTGGGTTGAAAACTTCTAGCTGAGGAAAATCCCTATTTCAAATCTTAACATGCTCTTACTATTACGATAATTTGTAAGATTTTGATTCAGTCTCTAAAAGGCATAGGGTTTGGGCCTTAGAATTTTAGACTTGTTCTCCTGCAGTTGTGATGTGTGGTATTGATCGATGGGCCTCGTGCACAGTTCTTCAGCTACCTAGACCATGAAATGAACAATCACATTCTGACCCTACACCCTATCCCCGCTCTTTCCAAAATTCTCACTGCGGATTTGTGCTGCCATTTACTCATTTCTTTAATAAAGATATTCAATCCCAGGACTGAAGTCTAGTTTCCTCTCGTCACAGGAAAGCAGTACAGATCTCAAAAATTAGCCTTGCGTTCACATTCAGCTTATATATTTTTATCTAATATTCAATTCGAGGAAGAATGATTTGAGTAGCCTTTACACATTAAAATGATGAACTTCAGGTTGAACAAGTAGGTGACAAGAAAAAGGGTGAAATCAACTTAAAAATATCATTTAGGGAGAAAGCTGCAACCAACTACTATTCTGCTTGCCCACTGACTACCAACATATTTAGTGTAGTAATTCTAGGTGCCTCAGAAAGCACCTGTAGAACGAAATCTCTTATCTCAGCCTAGATGCCTAAGAAAATAAACGAATTCACCCAAATATGTTATCTATCTGCTTATTTAAATCTCGCCTCATTAAAAAAAAAAAAAAGACTACAAGTAGTTTTTGGGTGCCTACTATATGAAAGACACTGAGCCAGAATTTAAGAGGATGTAAACAAGAATAAGACAAAGATTTTGACTCAAAAAGGGAAGCCGTAAATACTAATATGGACAGTACTTGGGCTATATGCTGTAAATACTTTAAAGATTACATGAACAAGGTCTATATAGGTACGTTCAGAAAAGGGAGAGCCGCATACATCTCCCCTATAGGCTTTGAAAGACCAAAATCAACGCCAAAAGCCAAACTCTAATAAAGAATGGAGTAGTGATGTGTCCTTTCCTGTTTTTACTTATTTTTGAAGGGCTTCTTTCCCGACTTCTTGCTGTCTTAAAGTCATGGCTATTGGTAGGTGGAGATGGGAATCAATGGTTCGGTAAATAAAACGCTTAAACGGATTTGCAAACTCACGCTCCATCGTCTTCCAGTCCCGTCCCACCCCTCCACCCCACCACATGCTCCCGTTATTTGTCTGATGCTTCGCGCTGACAGCTTGGCTCTGGGGTCCTTACATTCAGGCTGGAACTGGAATTATGTCCGTCAGGCACCAGAGTTCAATTCTCGCGCAAAGCCAGGAACGTCCCAAACCGCTTCACCCGAGGTAGAGGCAGGAAAACAAGCTTTTCCCATCAACCCTAAGGCTGGCCCCCCCCAAGAAGCAACCAAGAGGGAGCAGAATCGATGCAAAATCCAGTTTCAGCGGTTCGCCTCCTTCTTGGCGCCAAAACAAACCATCGGTCCGTCCCCTGCCGGATCTACACGACACGTAAGACACGTAATCGACAACCCTCCGCCGCGCTAAATAGTCCCGTCTAAGATGTCTCAAGTACACGCTTTTTTACCGCAGAAGGCCTTCTGTGAATAGCAGATGAGGCTCGGAGATGCATCACCCTTCTTTTCGAATGAATATGTGGGCTTTCTAATCATGTTCTCTTCACAGATTCCTCCGCCAGAAATCATATCCGCGGAGTCTCCACTTCCGGGTCCGCCATTTTGTTGCCTCCATTTCTCCACGAGGGGGGGTTAAAGGCCCCCCAAATATGCATATATGAAAAGGCCAAAAAGTAACCGTCACTGACAGGGAGTCTTAACTAGAGAAAGAAACGGGACCAAACTGGCGGGCTCGGTGGAAGCGCAGCCGGCAGCGTCCCGGACGAGGAGGTGAGAGGGAAGCAGAGATGTGTGGACTCTGGGGGGCGTTAGGGCTGGCCGGGGACAGGGCTGTGAGACGCTGCACCGCTTCCCAGCCCAGCCCCGAACTTCTGGGTGCAGACAGAGCGGCGCCCCTTCACCAGAGCGGGGGCAGCTGGGGGAGGGGGACGAAGAGGAAGGGGATGCTGCTGGGAGGAAGGGGAGGGGACTGGGAGGAGGTGAAGAAGGGGGTGGGTGTAAGACCTGGGGCTGGGGAGCTGGACCAAGAGAAGCCAAGGCCACAGAGGTGACCACAAGGGGGCAGCGCGGAGCCCGGGCCCGGGGCTGCTCCCTTGGCTGAGACCTTGGCTTCCTTCCTGCCCCAAATTAAAACTCGTCTTCCTGAAGGACAGAACTTTGCTGGGAGGATTTGTGATAGAGGAGAACACGGGGACTCTAATGCTCTGGCCCCAGTAATAGCCTAAAGATTATTAGTGAACTCAGTAATCTGAACAGGAGCATAACGGCCCCACCTCCTGTCCTTGCACGGTTGTTTGTACAGCTGGCGGCCCAGTGGGGACGTGTGCAGTAGCAAAAGGTCCTCAGCCCTTGGATTCTTCATTTCCAGTTCTCCATCCCGTTAGCTCTCTCTGCGCTCACAGATTTCCTTGAGCCTGCAGAGGTCACCCCATCGCTCTCCCCCGGAAAGGTTCTCTCTCTCCCTCTGTGTCTCTCTGTCACACACACATATTGGTGGTCAAGGACATTCTGGGGCTTACCTTCAACAATTGAACGACATTTTTGGCCACCTGGGACCACTTTTTCAACATGCGGTTTGACTCACTCAGTCCAATAGAGATAGATGTTCCTAGGCATCTATTTTCATACACGCGTTGATAACAATGAAAGAACTGCGCCACCCAGATTCTTATACCAACAAACGTAATTACTCTCTAATAATAGAGGACTTTGTTTTCAAGAGCTCAAGCACCTCATCCATTATTAAGGCACGTATTGAAAGTTCTCATGTATGTGTGTTTGGGAGGGGGAGTGGGTGCTTTGTTGTTTTATTCATCTCCAAAGTCCTAGGAGGCTGGTTGGATCGGGTTTAGTTTCTTCACTTGACAGATAGGGAAAGTGGGGGTGCATCCAGGAAGGGAGAATGTTTTCCCTTTGTTTTTAGTAATCAGAGAGCTCAGAAGTGCCTAGACTACTATCTTGTCTCTTAGGCTACATCTCTTCTGGTGGGTATTGCCAGCACTGACCTAGGATACTGGCAGAATGGCACATAGTCCCCCCCCAAAATGCTGTTATTTTAAAAAAATACACTTGACTTTTACTCAAGATAGATGCTTCAGGTTAACTCAAAAGAAAAGAGTAACTAACTGAGGATGGGGAGGAGAGAGCCTTGAAGAACACATTTCTAGGAGACCTTTTTACATCAGGTGATGAATGTAACACCTTATTTCCATTCTAATTCAAACGTTTGTATCTTTGTATAGTAAGAAATAAGACCTTTCATGGCCTAAAGAATGGGATGACAAATTTGGGTCAGTTGCCATTTAGTGGTACTGATACAATGAACTCACAAAGTGATGAAAGAAATGTGATAAGGTATAAAGGCAGACTACAGTGGAAAAATTTGCTCAAGTATATTTTGTAAGAGTTCAGGTGCTGAAGACACCAGTTGCAGCGAGATACAATCAACATATTTAAAGTATCTTGTTTTCCAGAAGTATCAGCTTCCCAGGAATGTGAAGCGAACCAGATTTCTCCTTAAACAGATACCTCAGCCTTCAACTGTTTGTTTTGTTTTTGTTTTTGTGGTAGAGGACAGAGCTGGAATTTCATTGTGAGGATAGTTTAATCTCGCTTTGTGCCAACGTTTCTGAACATCCCTGTGTAGGGCATTCTTTCCCTCTGTGATCAGCTACTATAGAGGTGTTACGGCTTGGCGATAGACCTTTTCTGTACTGTATAATTTGAGGAAATGTGAAGGAGGCATTTCTGACCATTGAACCACCTAGAAATTTGTTCTCGTTTTGAACTATTAGTAATAAGATAATTAAATCGAAAGGCAATTTTGATATTTTAAAAGTAAGATAACCATGGAGAAATACAAAGTATCAGTTTTCTGTAAGAAGTTTTTGCTATCTTTTTTTTTCTTTTTCCTCTAGCGTTCCCTTGAGTTGTAAAAACTGACACTTAAATTATGGCAGTTGACATTATTGAAGTTCGTCCTCCACTCATGAACATAGTATTTCACAGGCCTGGACTCGATCTTCGGGTAGATTGATTTTGAACAAACTCCCCTGGTCTCCTGGACCCATGTTTGAGCACAGCACTCTATGATACAAATTGGAAAATTAAAACATAGTGGCTGAATGATTTACCTAAGCCAATGATTCTCAAATTTTCTGATTTCAGAACTCATTGATATTCTTAAAAATTGTTGAGGACTCCACTGTGTTATATTTATTGATATTTACTGTTTTAGAAATTAATTTTTAAGTGTACATTAATTAAAATAAAATAATAAACCTTTCACATGTTAACATAAAACATTTCTATGTAAAGTACATCTTCCAAGTTAAAGAGATAGTGAGAAGAATGGCATTGTTTTATATTTTTGTAAGCCTCTTTAACTTATGGCTTAGTAGAAGACAGCTGCATTTTCATATCTATGTCTGCATTCAGTTTGTTGCAATACGTACTTGGACATAGGAAGGAGTATTTTAATAGCTTTTTCAGGTCATTGTGGGTATTCTTTGATGCTACAGAAACTCAACAAGTGGTAATTTCTTAAAAGTTAGTTGCAATGAGGACTCTGAAGCTATATTAATGAAATCTTTATACTTTGTTACCTTATAAAAACCATTGATCAGTCTTTCACTTTGAATCTTTTTAACCTTGCATGATTTTATAACAAGCATTGGTCATTTGAAAAATACTGGTTCACCAAATTATGCAGATTATCCAAATGTTGGTATGTTTTTTTATATACTATAAAAAAATTCACATTCATTAGCATCACCACGACTTTCATCAGAAAAGTATAGTAAGCTGTCAACTCGTAGTGGTGGATATAGGTTTCCCAAAATTCTAATTTTTGCTTGAAAGCTCAAATTGCAATTGATAATTGACAATAAATACTGTCGATTGTTTTCCTTGAAGTGGCAGACTTACAGTGTTCACTTCTGGAAAAGTGTCTGCCGTATACCTACCTGAGTCTCAGTATCCTTGGTTTGTCTATTCATCATTTCATGTAACATAATATTTCTACCATGGTCATTTCAAAGGGATGAAATGCTATTTTATTGATTTCTTAAGCCAGAAAGGTGGTAATGTGTTGTACAATATTTCCAAAGTACTTTTCTGGAGATTGAAAGTGAGGGAACTATCGTTTAGGGCCTGAAACTCTTCCAAGTATCTGATCGTTTGTATTAGATGAGGTAGAAATTCCGGAAGTACCCTACCAGATAGTCACCTTGACAAGCACCTTCAAGTACAAAAGGGCTTCTACAATAAAACGTTTTACAGGCAGCTTTCGTTGTGTTTGAGTTACAGCTTCCTGAAAACATTTGTTCCTATGCATAAAGATGTCTTTGGTGGACTTGGGGAAGAGGTTGCTAGAAGCAGCAAGGAAAGGCCAAGATGATGAAGTGAGAACATTGATGGCAAATGGGGCCCCATTCACCACAGACTGGGTAAGCTCTCTTGACTGTTCCCAGCTTGTGCTGACACCACTCTTTTTCTTTTTTTTAAA